TAAAGGATATGAAATTTATATTATTGGTTATTGCTATTAAATCATATGTCAAAAATTTATAATATATTTTAGGTGTCGGTGTTGAGAAAATGAGTAATTGATGTAAATAAGAGAGTACTAGAAGTTGAAATAGAAGTGAAACCCAAACTAATGTATAGAGAAAAAATATGAATGTATTCTGGCTTTTGACCATAGATAGTTATAAAATAAACAGATTCCAATTGTCAAAATGTAGTAGAAGTATAGATCGAGAGAGAAGAAACATAGGAGAAAGAGACAAATAAAATATTTAAACCCAAACTTATTATAACTGAGTCCTGACAAACTTTGTTGTGGATTTGAAATATGGAGTAAAATATTTTTGTAAGGATGGGAAAATGTAATATATGTCATCAAGCCCATATAATTTTCTATAACTAATCATCAATTCTAAGCCAATTAGTGATTATGAGTCTTGAAATATTAAATTGTGCAAAAAGTAACTATGATTTAAAGTAGAAAAAGATTAAAATTTACACTTTTAGAATTTTATCTATGAGCACCGTGCTGTTAGGTTTGGCAGAACTGGGACATTGAGCTCACAAAAAATGGAAAAAAAAGAAGTTTGGGCTAGCGTTGCGGCAACGGTTATCCCACCGTAGTGTCGGGTCTCAAATAAACCTATTCTCGAAGAATCTGAAAGATTCTCGATTGGCTTTGCGGCACTAGGAAAACGAGCGATGTGCTGTTAGTTTTAAACAATGAAAATATTATATTAAATATCTAAAATCTCTGGAGCATTTCCAATAGAATAATAACCTTACCAAAGAAGAAATGACAAGAAAAAGGGAAAGAAGAAGGGGAAAGAGAAAGAAGATTAAAGTATTTAAAGGCCAACGTTTGGGATTTGTTATTCAAGCTAATTCAAGATATAATAGAATTTGAGTTAGACTCTTAAACTCCTATCTTTGATTTCAATTTCAATTAGGCTATTAAAGATCACAAAGAAAATTTTATTTTTCTCAAGTTTTACAAAGTTTTAACCATGAAATTTTTAGTACGTTATTGTGTTCCTTATTATGAACATTTTGGATTTATAAGATTGAACTTTTGATGGTTCATTTTTCCATAAAAATTTATAAGTATATTATCAAATGGAGGCTTTTTTGGTAAATATAATAGTTATATAAGAGGTTTAAAATATTCTTTTGGAGTTAGAAATAAAAAAGGGAAGATTTAGTGAATATCCTGTTTTATAATTACAGATACTTTTGCTATTAATTTTTGATTCATCTAAATATGGCACTAAATGATAAATTTACTTACTATAACAATGCATTTTTATTCTACATTACGTGGCTCTGGAGATGTTCTATTCTAAAAATAAAATAAAATGGACTCTCTGTTATGTGCAAGGGACCTATATATGCTCTTCTTACCCCATCTCCCTGATGCATATATGAGTGGGATTCTTGCCCCAATTATTAAAAGGTGTTGGAGATTAAGAAACAATGAAAGTGAATCTTCTGGCCTCATCTGCATGATGTGAATGTCGGAGAGATTATGGATCCACTTGCTAGATGCAGGTGTATGAGGTAAAGGGAAGCATAAGTGGAAGTGGAGGGTTAAGCCATTTATATGTTATGCATTACATTTCATATATTAGTATTCTTCTAATTAGTTAAATTCAAAAAAAGTTCTGAGATATGCTCAATAAACTAAATATTTTTGTATGAATTCTATTGGGAAAGTGAAAGTAAAAGTTAACCTCTGAAAATACGCATTATATATGCATCTAGAAATTTCTATGAAAAGTGGTTATATGGCTATGAAAGTATATGTGTTAGCTCCAAGATTAGGTGTCTATACTGGACTTCGGTATATTCTTTTTTTTTTCTTATATTTTATGAGTTTGGAAGTCATTTTTCTAGTTAGCTATTTTTAATTACTTGCTTTTAATACTTTAAATTGAATATTTATATATGTGAAGGGGGTAGGAGAGAGTCTACTGAGAAAGGATCCAATAAAGTAGATTTGTTAGAGGTCTCGTTGAGCTTGAAAGGTACTATAATTTTTATAATCCAATATTTATTTATTTGATGTACAAACTCTATGATATGGATTATTGTAAGATGTTTTTAGAAAATGAAATCTATTGATATTACTGTAATGATTAAATTATTAGCAGCTCATGTTATTATTAATTGTGAGAGAGATAAATTAATCATAAGTTTTGGTAAGTCAAATCCTGCTATTAGATTATAAAGCATCTCATTGATGATGCAAGAATTGCTAGAGTTGCTAGTAAGAAGCCATGTTTCCTATATAACTTTATACTCATTGAATTTTTCTTATTCAAAACTCTAGCTTCAAAGGAATATTCAAATTAATATTTTAAGGTTTTTATATAACTATTGTAAATATCAAAAAGGCCTCAATTATAAATATATACAGAATTTTGTGTAAGTAAAAATAACCAGTGAAAATTCAACTTTATATAATCAAACCATTTAAAATGAAGCACACGCCAACATAATAAAAGATACGATGAAAATATCATAAAACTCAAGAAAAAATTATTTGTATTCATTTTTTTTTTATAAAATCACTGAACTGAAATTAGAGATAGGAGTTCATCAGTCTACCTTGTGCTATATGAAATCCATAAAAGTTCGGACGGGCTGAACCCGGGCTTTAGCTTCTAGATTCTCTTTTCTTTCTCTCTTCTCTCTTCTCCTCCCCTTTTCCTCTCTTATTCTTCAGTAAAATGATTGAAGGTTACGAAGTAGAAAAGGGATTAAGATATTTTATTACAAAAAAACCATTATTTCAACCCAATGTTGTGATGCCTACCTCACCAACACTACTAAGCTCTAAGAGAATCTTCTTAATATTCACAGATTCCTTAAACCTAAGAGATTGGTGCTGTGGAGATGCAACTTCCGATGCCATAGCACCCAGAGAGAAAAATGGAAATTGAGTTTCTCTTTCCCCATTTAATTTTTTTAACTAATTTATGACTCATTAAACACCATAGAGCTTATAATTAGTAACTATATCAAGATTAAATGAGAATTTAATTTAAATTATTTAGAATACCTTAATCCCAAAATAGTGGGTGTTATATGTTTCTTAGTTGTTAGCAATAACATTGCCACTTTATCATCTCTTTGCTTTGAAGATTTAATCACCATTTCTTGGGACTAAATTTGATACATTTTCATTACTAAAAAAATGCACTATCCTGGACATGAATGATTGGAATGAGCATAAGTCTATGGCACCATATCCCTTAGTATTTGAAAGAGGAGAGAGAAAGTGCAAATTCAATCAATATTTTCCATTGCTCTAATTGTAAAAAGTACTGTAAATATGGTACTAACCTAAATCATACTTTGGTTTAAATGATTTTGAGTTTTTCTTATTGCTTCTCTCCTAAAATTGTTAGAAATACAATATCTCGTATTTTAGTGAACTTTCACTACATAACTTTGATATGCAATGATATCGTCACCATAGATATTCTGACTCATTTATTTTAAAATTTCACATGCAGGTTTTACATATATGTCATAAATTGGAATGAGTAGAATAATAACTAGTATGAGATGATGAGTTAGTGTAGTACAATTGAACATGAAATACATTATATACATAATTTTATTATTTATTTGGTCTAATGTGAATTTTGACATAATAGATGCATATTGTTGAGTACATTAGATGGATTTACATGTTTCATTCATTGCATTGGATGTGTACAAAAATTCTTTTATTTTGATCTACATGATGTGTAATGTGTGTAAAAATAATAATGACTACCTGTAAATGATTAATTGATTCAGGCTTGGAGACCAATGAGCTTTCCATTAAATAAGATTTATGATGTAATCCTAAATTATATGAAAAGAGAGGCATGATAAGATTAACTTATATGATATGATAGATCCATGGGCAAAAAATGATGACTTCTTATATTAAAGCCATCTGACTTCTAATAAGAGATATCATAATGGTTTCTAAAAACATTATTAAAGGACTGTAGGATTTGATACTCGAAAAATATCATAGGTAGCGAGATGTTGTTCCTTACTTACATATGCATAAGCATAAGCATACAAAACAAATTATATAAATGACACGATATAATATGACATGAACATCATACATAACAAGACTGATACATACATATTGCACATTATATATAAGATTGATAAGACTGATATAAGGATGCATGATACACATGAAATACATGAGATACAAGAAATAGAATATGATTTCATGAATTAAAATTATATGACATGCATATAATAACTACACAACAATAGCTTGATATGGCATAAATACAAATTTACACGAAATGGCATATATATTAAAATAAAGTACGAACTATGAACATGCATAGATTGATTATAGACAAGTTATGATATAATTGACATAAGTTTATGAATTACATAACATTCTTATCACAAAGCAAACTATTTCTAGTTATGAATAATGGTCACTAATTCTAAATTATAGTATCTCTATTGGCATCAATTGCTTATATGAATTAACTTTGGTTATATATGATTATATATATTTTTACTTAATACTTATTTATATTAATATGAATTTAATGATTAGATGCAAAAAAATTTGTATTACTTTTCATTGGTTGTAGTGGTGGGGGTATGGTACTTTACAGAGCTGTTAGCTCGCTCTAGTGGGGCTCTAGTGGTGCAAATTATAGCTTTTTTTTAATCTAGTATATTGTTATTTATGTATCATTTTCTATATATATATATATATATATATATATATATATATAAAAAAAGATACATCAATAAATTATGTTGATAATTATGATGCATAAAGTATATGAGAAGAGAAATTTATAAGAATATTATAAAAATATATTTGGATCATATTAAACTCCCCTTAAAAAATAAAATAAAATACTCTTGATGAAAATGAAAGGGGTTCTTAAGTAATTTGCGCCTCCCCCGTCCTTATTTTTTGCCCTAGCCGTTATCGTTTCATTTGTTCGCTGTATTGCTCCAGCCGCTCCTTCGTGCGTTTCGATAGCTCAGCCCTGCCGCCGTCTGAAGGTCGAAGCTCGATTGCTCCAAGGAAAAAATGGTATTTTTAGGGTAAGCTATAGTACCCTCCGTGGAAGGCAGAAGGCTGCGAGGAGCTTGATCTGCGTTGGAATCTCGGAGGATTAATGGGCATTTTTAGGGTAAGCTAGAGTAAATGAGTAGCAATCACCCTTATATTCTGCTGCATCTCCTTTCGCTTCTCTTCCACTCGAAAATTTTCAAGTTTTATTCCTGCCCGAAAGAGTTCCATCTGTCTGTTCATCAATAAGTTTTTAACTGTGTATGCTGATTTTTGGAATAGAAATTTATCTTTTTGGATCTTGATTTCGGCAGTTTCATCAATACCAAGTGGTTGGTCGTGCCCTTCCAACCCCAAGCGATGAGCATCCAAAAATTTATCGCATGAAGTTATGGGCTACTAATGAAGTCAGGGCAAAATCCAAGTTCTGGTAGGAAGGCCTGCCTTCTTGTCTTGTTAAACTTTTTTCTACGTTTAATGATTTTTGTATTGATCTTGTTCTCGTCCTTACTTGTAATAGGTACTTCCTGAGAAAACTAAAGAAGGTGAAGAAAAGTAACGGCCAAGTCCTTGCTATTAACGAGGTTCGTTCTTGTCTTATGTCTTTCGGTTGATTGTGGCATTGAAATACTAATTTCATTCATACTACCAATGAACTTATTTTGCCGATTATTGCTGTATTGATATGTTTTGCTAGAATTTTCACTGATGCTTTGATTTATAAGATGAACTATGCATACGTTTAATGTTGCCTTAGAAATGGTATTGGTTTTTACCCAAATACTCTTTTCTTTGATTATTTTTGAATAGTTGGGTTTTCTGCTTTTGATTACATGGCTGAGTTGGGGTTAACAGTTACATGTTGATTGGGTTTCTCAATTTGTTTTAGTTTTTGGTTGAACTGAAAATATTCTGGTAGTTGTTTTGTGTGGAGAGAAAATAGGCTGGTAAAATAATTCACATCCAACACTCACTTTTTCTATCATCTTTTCTATTATCTGCATTTTATTCATCATTTGAAATTTCTATTCGATGCTTGTTTGCCTTTATGGCTTTATCTATATACTATAGCTAGCGTGGACTTGTTATGATCCGAATATTTTTGCAGTGCTCTCTTACATAAATGAGCCAACTTTGGTTATTTTTTTTATAAATGTTGTCAATTGGAAATATCCTTTCTTTGGAGCATTTAGAGCCATAGCTCAATAAATTTATCATATTAGAACGTACAAGAAATATATAGCTATGCTATGGCTAGGATTGAATTGGATTCTAAATTGATTGTCACGAGTATTTTAGAGAATTTTATTGGCAATGCTAGGAATTTTTATATTATGAGGAAAATTAGAGATATTCTGCTTACTTTAAACTTTAGGATTTCTCATATTTATAGAGAAGGAAACATGTGTGCTGACTGGTTGGCTAGGAAGGGAGCTCATCTGGTTGAGTATGAAGAAATTGATATTCTTAATTTGGATATCTCCTTTAAAGGTATGATATTAGTTGATAAAGTGGCTTTGCCTAACTTCAGACATGGGTGAGTGCTGTTTGTTTGGGTTGTGTGTTGTTTTGTTTTCTCTGTTCTGTTGCTTTTATATTCCTGTAACTGGCTCTGTTATGAGTTTGATGGAAGCTTATTTTTCTACTTGTAGTTGCTGGAGGTGTTGCTGGAATGGTTATCAGGAGGTTTGGAGTTTGGGGTACTAGTGGGGCTTGTCTTTTTTTTGGCATGTTCTGTTTTTTTCTGCATTTGTATTGGCAGCCTGGTAGGGGGTGTAAGCTTGCATGTTCGTATTTTTTTATCTGGAGTGGTATTTTATATGCTGGGATGAGTAATGTTGGCAAAAAGTTTGCCTTACTGTATGAGCTGTTGGGCTCCCTTTGGTTTTCTGGTAAAGCTGGGAGGTTGGATTGGTTGAGAAGGTTGCTGAATTATTTGATTGAGTTGATTAATTCTGTGGTGCTGATATTATTATTGAAGATCTTTTGCAGGTGCTTGACCGGAGGAACATGCGCTTGGTATAAGGTTTGGATTTTGTTTTTTGTTCCTTTTTTGTGCAATTTTTTTGTCAATTTTTGCAGGAGAGCGGAGCTGAAAGGTTTTAAGATTCTTTGGCTTCTCCTTTTTTGGGTGCTGTTGCTTCGCAACCCGCAGTTAGATTTGAATTATTTTTGTAACAATAGAAAGAGGATCCTCCGGCTCATAGGTTTTTTGGTTTTCATTTATTTTGTAGCTCGTTGGAGCATTAGAGAGCTGGAGGAACCTCCTAAGGACTTTGTAACCGCTTATTTATATCAACGCGTAGGCCCCTTTGTGGGTTTCAACTAAAAAAAAAAACCTTTATTTAAAAATAACATAATTGATATAATAATGATATAATTGTATCAAATATGTAACACAAAATTTAATTAATTAAATAATTATGAAGCTTAGCACATGAATAAATAAAATCTTTTTTTAAAAAAATAATATTATGGGTACAAAGACCAAATACATGCAATTCGTCTGGCTCAAACACAGAACTTCATCAACTAGACTATCTACATAACTGCGCAAATAGATCATTCTTTTTCATTCACTACTGAATTATGAGTAATCTGGATCGAACGCATTTAACATCAAAATGGATGCTTGGACAACCTATAGCTTTTTAATATAGTTTTAGATTATGTAGAGACCTACTAGCTCTATGTTTTTTCATTGATAGATGTAGTCATAATTAATGCCTAAAGTAAACGTCTAAAGGATTTGATTTCTCAGTAAGTATGAGAGTCTCTCATTTTATTTTTTTATGATAATAGTCTCAAGTTTCAACTAAGTCTTTAGAGATTAAACTTTTCCCAAATCATTGCATTGGGGCATTTCCACTAACACTTAGAGGGAGTTAGCTAATTCCTGCACCTTATCCATGGTTGAATCGATTGATTTTAAACACATTTTTGTTGTAGTTCCCAAATCATTCACATCCACAATTGAATTCATAACTATTTCAGCACAATCTTTCATGAGCATGTCTACTTCCACATACAAGAAGCATCCCAATCAAGCATGAAATCATGTTTGAGCTCGTGTTCATGATTGTAATCCCCTTCAAAATCAAGCATTGCTTCATTTTCGTCATTCTCAAATACTCATTCTCGCTCAGATTCATCGTCGTCATCATTTTCTTCGTACTTAACATCCGACATTCCTTTGTCTGAGCTAGTAGAGATGAGATATTGCAAGTGCTGTTTGAAAGCCAGTCGAGTAGAGCAGTTTGAATCAGAATTCTTAACTTTCCTTAAAGAGGAAAAGCTATGCGATTTTTTTTTTTTTTTGCAAAAAACCAAAAAGCACATTTTAGTTTTAAATATTTTGTTAAAATGGTATTATATTATCAACATATATAGAATATGAATAGAGTGTAAAAGAAGGGGTGTAATTAAGGATTGGTGTTGAAACCAATGTTGAGAGTTTCATTATTTATACCAACAGCTCTAACAAGAAGAGGAATAGCGAACTATATGAATTGTGAAGATCGTTAAGTTTCAGATTTCATTTCCATGATAGGATTACTTTAGCTACATGATGTAAATATAACAAAAAAATTTAGTAACAAGTGTAATGAATTATGTGCCTAGATAGATATATAAAGTGATAGAAATAGCAGAGCCACAGAAGAATGTGGTGATTGAGTCTGGCGAGCAGCAGAGCAAATGTTAAAGGTCATTAGCTAGTCTTCAGATGGAGTAGAGATGAACTGCTCTTATCAACGTCATTCTAGTTTACAGGCAGAACAACCATAACTTGTTGCGATGAGTTTGAAGCCTTGTTGTAGGTAATGACTTGGTTGTCAGCAACTTGATCCATTGTTGAAATGTGATGAACTACAAGGTGATTAGCTTGAATATAATCCTAAAGTATGTGATGATCAATCTCATTGTGTTTTGTGTGTGCATGAAAGATAGGATTGCAAGCAATGGACATAGCTAAGATATTTTCACATATAATAGAAGTGGTGTCTAACCGAATGGAAGTATTGGCATAGGTTTCAAACCTAAATTAAATTAGATGTAGTTGTGGCAAGGGACCTTTATTCTAGTTCAATAAAGGAAACGAGCTATGATGGACTTCTTTTTAATGGATCAAGTGATGAGGGCTATACCAAGAAAAATGTAATAGACTGGAGTAGATTTTTCATCCAAGGTGACACCTACCCAATCTAAGTCAAAAAATACAAAAAAGGTGAAGATCTATTTTTGGTAGTAGTAAGCTAAGATTAATTGTTCCTTTAAGGTACCGATGAATGTGTTTAAGAAATTGAAAAAGAGATAACATAGGTTGGTGCATATCTTGTTATAATTTGTTAACAGAAAAGAGCAATGTATTGTTTGATAGAGGATAGATATTGGAGGGACCTCCTAATTGTTGGAATAGAGCAGGTTGGCTGAATAGAACCTATAAATCTAGATCGATTGGTAGCTTGGAATGTAATGGGGTAGATAAAGGTTTGAAATTAGACATGGCTGTTGTGCGTAGGATCTCTTGGACATTGGATTGCTAAAATAAATGATACCCAAGTGAAGATCTGACAATGTCTATTCCAAGAGAATGGGAGAGCAGATAAAGATTGCATGATTGGAATCTAAGTTGAAGACTTTTTATGAGAGAAGACATGAAGGAGGGATCATTTCCAGTGATAAATATATCGTCAACATAAATTAATAAGTAGACGATATATTATCTTTATGTAGAAGGAGAAAGAAATAATCGACGGAGTTGATTTGAAATACTCGAGTGATGAGGTAAGAGTATAATGTTGCATACCATAGACGTGGTGCATGTTTGAGCTCATAAATTGCTTTATGTATGTGGCAAACATGATTTTGATATCGAGGATCTTTAAATCCTTGTGGCTAAGTCATGCAGATCATTTCAATGAGTTTTCCATGAAGAAAAGCATTGACCATATTAAGTTGGAGGATGGGCCAACTCTTATGCAACGAAATAGTGGGAAATATTTAGTTGGTGGGAAATTTTACAAGTAGATTGAAGGTTTCAAGATAATTGATACCATATTTCTATTTAAAATCTTGAGCTATGAGATGAGCTTTATGTTGACCATTGGAGATGTCAGCTATTTTATTGAGCTTATGAATCCACTTTTAGTTAATAATTTATTGATTGACGGGTGGGAGAACTAGAGAGTAGGTTCCTTGAGCTTAAGGCTCTCTAAATTTAACCGACATGGAATGTTGCCATGCTGGAAGTTTGACAATAGCCATATAACACATTAGAGGAGTTTGAATAGTGTGATAGAGATCCAAGATAATATGAGTTCTTTGAGAAACAATATGTAGACAAGTGACCATTGGGTGCCAAGGTGGGATGGTTGGTGGGGAAGATGCTAAAGAAGATGAAGAAGTTGGTGAGATTAAAGAGGGAGTATGAACAGTAGATGCGCTTGATAATGAGGGAGAAGCGATAATACTTGATGGTTGATTTGCTGGAATATGTTGCATTATAGGTTGAGAAGCAGTGTTGATGAAATTTTGGAATGGATGAGGTATAGTAGGAGGGAAGGGAGGTTTGTTTGGAGGTAGGCGTGGTAGAATTAAGCAAGGAATTGACAGGAAGAGAGGGAAAGAT